TAGCCAGTGAGCCCTGGGGTCTACACCCTCGTACACATGTGCACACATAGGCGCACACATGTGCACAGGTGTCTATGGCACTGTCCTTTTCTCCTGTCTGGTCCCCTTCCATGTGTCTGTGTTAAACTCTTCATTAGACTGTGTACTCCATGAGGCGGCACGTTGCCCTTTTGGTTGTGATCCCCCAGTGAGATCCAGCCCCTTTCCCACTTGGCCGTGATTGGTACACGACTCGGGTGCCCTGACAACAGGCCGATCTGGAATTTCTATTCTGAGTCATAATGTAGAAGAATGGATGGTGGCTGAGGCTCTTGAGAGTTCCCGTCTCCCAGACCCATGGAGCTTTGCCGCAATGGGCTCTGTTCTTGCGAGCCATCGTGTATCATAAAAGCCTTTGCTTTGTTTTCTTTATTTAAGTTAATGAAAACCAGTTTCAGTTGCTTTGACCCAGAGATGTCTACAGTATGGCCTTAACTAATCATTCTCATTTTCATATTGATTGTGACTTTTTCTTTCTTCTCTTTAAAAAAACCAAACCAAACAAACATAGCCAGAGACAGCTGCTGCCTTGAAACGTACACTAGAATCCCTGATGGACCGAGGAGCCATCGTGAGGAGCCTGGAAAACCTGGGTGAGCGCGCACTTCCTTACCGGATCTCCAGCCACGGCCAGCAGCACAGCAGAGGCGGGTAAGTGTCTCTGGAAATGGCTTCCCAGGCTTAGGAGAGAATACTGACAGTGCCACCGTCAGTCCTGTTGTGCAGCTGTCCCCCAGGCATCAGTATAAAGCAATGCTTATTGTAGGAGCTGTCTTAGGGTTTATTGCTGTGAGGGGACGCCATGACCACTGCAGCTCTTGTAAAGGAGAACATTTAACTGGGGTGGCTTAGGTCCATTGTGGTGGTGGGAGCGCGGTTGGTGCTGGAGAGGGAGTTGAGAGTTCTCCATCCAGATCAGCAGCTCAGCAGTGTGTAAGCCACTGGGCCTGGCTCAAACTTCTGAGGCCTCAAAGCCAACCTCCTCCAACAAAGCCACACCTTCTCCAGCAAGGCCACACCTCCTAATAGAGCTGCGCTCCTGGGCCTCCGAGGACCATTTCCATCCAGACCCCCATGGATACAGATGTTAAACTGGCTTTAGTAGGCAGGTCCGAACAGAGGCTCTGGGTAGAGCAGGGGACTTGGAGGCCCCACTGGGGGAATTGTTTTCAAACTCTGGCTTTTTTTCTTGACGTTTAACCTTTGCCTTCAGAAGCCCCAGCTTGCAGATACACAAAGCAGTCGGCTTCCTTGGCTTCCAGCCAGAGCCAGCTGCACCAGCATGAAAAGATCTGACTTACTCTAGACAACATGCGATTTTCTACCTGGGTGTGTTCTGTCCAGGGTGCTGCTACTCTCTGGCACTCAGAACCTTGTGCCTTCTGCAAGCGTCTCTGGTCATCCGTGGGCATTGACTTCAAGTCTCACCCTCGGTTGTCTTGGGAATGAAGAGAGAATGTGCAGTTGCGTGCTGGTCGGTAAACTGCTTTATTCCTGGTTTAAAAGGGTGTGGGCGATGGCCTCAGGTTGTACTGCATTGAAACGTGCTTCTGGGATGAGGCGCGTGCTGCAGACGTCTTCATTGCCTCACCTTGTTTTCTGTTGAGCCTCTTAAGAGTGTCTTGTCAGAGTGCCTGAGTGTTGCTAGGAAACAGGCAGCGCACAGTCGCTGGGCCTTTTCCACAGCCACAATGACAATGAGGGATGGAGTGTGTGTGCATGACAGGGTGTGTGTACCTGTGCACGGCAGGGCGTGTGTGCCTATGCATGACAGGGCATGTGTGCCTGTACATGGAAGGGCATGTGTGCCTGTGCATGGCAGGGTGTGTGTGCCTGTGCGTGGAAGGGCGTGTATGCCTATACATGACAGGGCATGTGTACCTTGCATGGCAGGGCGTGTGTGCCCTGTGCATGGCAGGATACACATCTTTTCTTCACTTTTTTTTTTTTAAAAACTTAGTCACAAATTGGTGTGGCTTTACCATAGGACTGTGGGTGTCTTTGCCTTTCTGTTTAAAAGGAATGCATGTGGTCTGTCCAGGGACGATTAGCTATTCTTGTAACATGGGCATGTTGGGTACCATTCTGTATCATGAAGGGCCTGCTTGTTGGGGTTTCTGTCTCACCTGGTCCCCCAGCTGTGTAGTCCCAGAGAAAATCACACAGAGATCTCCATAAGTTATAAAACTGATTGACCCATTAGCTCAGGCTACTTACTAGCTCTTGTAGCGTATATTAACCCATTATTCTTATCTATGTTAGCCACATGGCTCGGTACCTTTCTCAGCGGGGCAGGTCACATCTTGCTTCTTCAGTGGTCTGGGCTGGACTGGCGAAGGAGCTTCCTGCTTCCCAGAATTCTCCTATTCTCATCACCATGCCTCTACTTCCTGTCTGGTTGACACGCCTATACTTCCTGCCTGGCCAATCAGTGTTTATTTAAAACATGATTGGCAGAATACAGAAAATTCTCCTGCATCAATTCTTATGTAGAAGGTGAGAAGTCAGTGTCCTTATCCATGTGGTGATTTTGGAGGAATCCATTTGGGAGTGTGCCTTTCCTGTCAACGTGATTCTGTTTCTCCTGCCATTTCTTTAACTAGCGTGTGCACTTCAGCCAGCTGCCCGAGCCCACACTGAGAGCTGCTGTATTGACTCTTCTAGCTTCAGGCCTCCTTGTGCAGTGCTGGAGCATGCTTGGTAGGGGTGCTGCTGTTCTTTGTGGGTGGAGCAAATACTTGTCTTGGAGGAGCCCACCTGGCAGCACTTGCTCTTCTTTCAAGCGCTGACCAGCTGTGTGCTTTTCAGTTACTGTAGCCATTGGTGTTGGAAGAGCTAGTGCAGGAGGGCACCGTTTTTGCAGTACACTGCACGTGTGTACTGTGTGCAAGCACAGTGGAGTGTCTCAGGTCCAGGAGGAGGCTTTGGGCTTTATACCTGTGCTGCTGAGAAGTCACTGCCCGCATTTATCTGGTTAAGGTCCTATTTTCAAAATGCTGTATCCGAATGCAAATTTACAGAGATGCTGAAGCCAAGGCTAGGTGTGTGACATCAGTGTAGTGTGGGGAGCCTGGCATGGCCTGTTTTTCCAGACACAAATGGTGGTGAGCCCTTCAGTGAGTCGTGGTGCTGGTCAGTGTCATGTGAGCACAGTGTGTGTGTGTGTGTGTGTGTGTGCGTGCACACGCAGGCGTGTGCAGTGCAGGCCTGTGCATGCCACAGTGCGTGAGCGGAAGTCAGAGGACAGCGCTTGAAAGTTGCTTCTCTTGCCACCTTGGTGAATTTGGGGATTGAATGCAGGTGGTCAGGGTTACATACAAGCTCTTCCACCTCCTGAGCCATCTTGCTGGCCCAAGGTGGCTTTGTTTTTATATACTCTGACTGTTTTCCAAGGTGACATTTGGTAAATGAGCATTTGAGGGCTGGTGCATTTAGAGCTGCCTGAGTAAAGGTTTCTAGATGCCTGTCTTAGGGAGCTGAGGTCAGCTGCACACGTCATCTAGCCCTCCTTGTAGTAGGCATTTTCTTCACTTGACACATTGCTTTTGTGCATTGTGCATAACCAAGAAAGTGTTGCACACATGACATGTCCCAGAAAGTACACTGTTTGCAGATGGTTAAGAAACAGCATAGGGTTGTTCATTATTCATTTAACATTTAAAGGTTTGGTTCATTTCAGTACCCTGAAAGTTGTGACCTGTCCTCGCGGTTTGGTCAAGGCACTGATTGAGGTTTTCATGCTGTGTGCATGAGTCCGACGTATGTGCTTAGGTGACTGACTAAATGGGTCTGCATGTCCTTCAGGAACCCATGTTCATGTGGTGTTATGACCATCCATTCTAGGGCATAACAGTGTGTTTCAGTGGCATCCACAGGTCTCAGGATGATTCTTGGGCTTGTCGTGGTTGCTGATGTTTGAGAGTTTTCAGTCTATTGGAAGTCTCGGTGTGTGTGCTGACCTAGGTAGCAGAAGCAAGAGAGGACAAGTAGAGGCACCCGTACGGCAGTAGTGCCCACAGAGCCGGCAGGCAGAGTCTTCGCCACACAGTTCCCGCCTAGCATGCTGGATCAGTGCACTGCCATTCTCGCATGTCCGTCCCCAGGCTGACCCCAGATTATGCCAAAAAATAAAAATGTCATTATTCCAAATACTAGTTTGGTCAGACCCTGCTTGAGAAGCAGGTTGTGTTCCAGAGACTGGTCTGCAAATCCTTGTTACTGGGAACTTGTTGGCTCACTGGAACAACTTGATGGTTAAATTTCTAGACCCAAGCATAGACAGTTACTTATTGGCTGTCTCGGGGTGTGTGGAATTGGGTGGTTGTTTATGCTGAGCTGAAGACTGTCTTGAACTTTTTAAACCCTGTTCTTGTGTGTTCCACCTGGCTGCAGGAGCCTATTCTGCTCACCTTTATCAGAGATGGAGAAGGGCTCAGACACCTGTAACTTGTGTGTATACCATTTTCCACATTCCTAAAGGCAGCTATGTCCTGAGTCATTTGGCCACCAGGTCATGATCTTGGCAACAGAGCAGAGTTGAGAAGGTCCCGCTGCTGCTTGGGCCCAGTCAGGGAGGCTGGGAGCTTGGAGCTCCTGGGTCAGCTTTGCAGATGGAAGCTCTGGCTTCAGTTCCCACCTGTTATCCTGGGCAGTGCCTGAAAACCATTAGTGTACAGCCTTGGGGCTGCTGGGCTTAGACAGTCTTTGCTCTGGATTTGTGCAGCCCTTGCAGGCCTCTGGATGACCCCTCCTTGTGCTCACCTCGAGGCCTGTGTGTCTGGTGGAGAAGGTCCCTTTAGAGGGAAACATTGCTGCCTTACACTGCAGAGGGAGCTGCGGGAATAGACGCTCTATCCACCCTTTCTCATGTGGGCTGGTCATGTCCTGCTGTAGGCACAGCAGCCAGCCCTACTCCGGGCTGCACACCCTCTGAAGCTCTTTCCACTAGATGGGGCTGGATAGAGTGTGGTTTTTAGAGCAGGAGCACCGATGACCTCTGCTGCTGAGCTGTGTGTGTCTCTCAGGTGGCCTGTGACTACCAAGTCTATAATGTAATAGCTGTGGGGGGATGGGCTGACCTCGTGTCCGTAAGACTCTTAGGTGTGGAAGGAGTTTGGTGGTGCTCATGGCAAAGCTCTCAGCCGCGCGCAGAGTACTCTTCTATTTACAGCTGAGCAGAATGATCAGCATAGCCGGCTCTGTGGCGAATCAGTGGAATTTTACTAACTTGTTCCCCAAATGTGTCTGCAGCTTGCTTACTCTGACAGCCCTGGTGCCCTCTCTAGAGGCGGTTGATTCTCCTCTGTAGTTTTCCTATTAGTTAACATATCTGTGTTCATGTTTTCCTGCCGGTGTCCTGGCCCACTTCTGTGTATAGGGGGCCAAACTCCACAGCTTGTTTGGGTGCAGGAATGCTATGTCCTTGATGGCATTTCCCCAAGATTTGTAGAATTATTGCTTCTTAAAATGCACAAGACCCAACAGATATGAAGGAAATGGGGTTTGTCTATAGAAAGTGAATAACTCGTTGCCTCTGTGAAGTCAGATCAGAAAGGTTTAACCATGACAATGTAGGAACCGGCATCCACACAGTTGGCCTCTTGTCTTCTAACAGGTTTCAAGATGCTCTGGGGCTGCAGAGCCCCCCACCC